GTTCCACCAAAAACTCTCATTATTAATTTCTGAGTCATTATTTTCAAATTATCACTTTCTCTATGGAACCTCCCACCCCTGGCAGTGCCCAAGGCCAGGTTGGACACTGGGACAGTGGGAGGTGTCCCTGCCATGGCAGGGCTGGCTCTGGGTGGGCTCTGAGGTCCCTCCCAGCCATCCCAGTGTGTGGTTGCAGGATTCCCAGTTGCCCATGTTACCATTGTGGGTTGTCTGCTCACAGAGCTCCCTGCTCAGCTGCCCTGTCTTGTTCAGCTCAGGAATCACAGCCTGCACTTGGACACAATAAACTGTCCATGGCTCCAGCTGGGACAGGATCTCAGAGCTGTGCTGGGTGTCCACCTGAGCTACCTGAAATCAGAGACAAACAGAGAAAACCAAAGTGTGTGACACCAGTGACTCAGCTAAGGAATAACCAAGGCACTACAATGACAGCTGTACTCTGAGCCCATCCACACCACTAACGAAGTTTTAGCCTAATGAGAGCTGATAAATGAGATCTGGTGGCAGCCAGAAATTGTCACCCAGCCAAATGAGATCAGCTAGGAGCACAGCTCCACACAAACACCAATTAACTGGAGAGGGAGCAAGGGGGATGCAGGAACAGCACAAGGGGGAAAGGCCTCAGGTTGTGCCAGGGAAGTTTTAGGTTGGACATCAGGAAAAATTTCTTCACTGAAAAAGCTGTCGAGGCCTGGAATAGGCTGCAGTCCTCACCCTGGACTAAAAGTTCTAAAAAATGTGCAGATGTGGCACTTGGGGACACGGCTAGTGGTGAACACGGGGGCCTGGGTTATTGGATGATCACAGAGGGCTTTTCCAGCCTTCCCAACTCTGTGATTCTGTGATCTAGACAAAACAAAAAAAAAGGAAGGAAGATGTTTCTGGGAGCTGTGAGGTGGCAGAGCAGATGAATTTGCTGCTCAGGTTTGTTGTGTCCCTGTACCTGCAGAGCCAGGTTTCCATCCTGAGCCCCCAGCTCACCCACAGGCTGGGAGGTTCCCCAGTCTCTGCCTGCTCCCTCTTGGATCCCCAGGGAATGGGTCTGTCCCTGCAGCTCTGCTCCTCTGCTGAATCCAGCTGAGTGCAGCCCGGGTGCAGGAACCCCTGCATTCCTCAGGAGTGTGGGAATGGAGACCCAGGCTGCTGTGAGGGAAATGATGGAAAAATTCCTCCTTTTCTGGAACTGAATGGCAAAGCAGTGTGCAGGTAACAAATCTAAATCTGAATGACACAAATCTCAATCTGAACTCCACATGGTAGAGTCCCATTATATAAAATTGCACTGATGTACAAAGCTCTCATTAACTGTGTCTGGGTTCTGCTGGCCAGGGGTTTGTTGCTTACCTGAAATAGAGGCCACAATGCTGTAATTAATACATAATTAATGATCTTTCTCCATGCACTGTGTATGGAGGAGCATAACTGCCTGTGGAGGAGGCTGCCTCTGAGAGGGAAAAAGGGAACTGCAGAGCTCCAGGTGACCACAGTGAATAAAAACCTTACCCATTCTTAGATATTTTGGGGGTAAAAAGTCCCATTAAGAGAGAAAAAACACAGAGTTATTGATAACTATGGGAAAACTCTGTCCATGCTGTTGTTTAACTACACATGAATGACACAGCTCCTGCCTTTGCTCCGAGTCCCAGTTGTAGTGACCACACTTGATTAATTGTAATTAGTAGAGATCCATTTTTACTCTTAGAATCACAGAATCCCGGACTGGGTTGGGTTGGGAGGGACCTCAAATCCCACCCAGAGCCACCCCTGCCATGGCAGGG